ATTGACCAAAAAAACATAATTCAACAGTCTGCTGCAAGAAATTTACCTAACCCAAGAAGATATTCACAGACTAAAACATAAAGGATGGAAAAAAATTTCATGTACCAGGACCCTGAAAACAAGCAGGGGTAGCAATTCTAATCTTAGACACAGTAAACTTCAAACTAAGACTGATAAGAGACGAAGAAGGTCACTATACACTAGTTAAAGGAATAATCTAACAAGAAGAGATGTCACTGGTAAATACATACCAAATAATGGAGCAGCTACCTTCATAAAACAAATACACTGGACATAAAAGAACAAATAAATACTAAAACAATCACAGTGGGGGATCATAATGTCCCACTCTCACAAAGAGACAGATGAATTAAACAAACAAACAAAAAAATCAACCAAGTAATATCAGAGTTCAACTGTGAACACATGAACTTAACAGATATCTACAAAGTGTTCTATCCCATTACGAGTATACATTCTTTGCAGTGCATGGAACTTTCTTTAAAGTAGATCACATACTAGCCCACTTTTATGGCTTTGCAGTGCATGGAACTTTCTTTAAAGTAGATCACATACTAGCCCACTTTTATGGCTTTGCAGTGCATGGAACTTTCTTTAAAGTAGATCACATACTAGCCCACTTTTATGGCTTTGCAGTGCATGGAACTTTCTTTAAAGTAGATCACATACTAGCCCACTTTTATGGCTTTGCAGTGCATGGAACTTTCTTTAAAGTAGATCACATACTAGCCCACTTTTATGGCTTTGCAGTGCATGGAACTTTCTTTAAAGTAGATCACATACTAGCCCACTTTTATGGCTTTGCAGTGCATGGAACTTTCTTTAAAGTAGATCACATACTAGCCCACTTTTATGGCTTTGCAGTGCATGGAACTTTCTTTAAAGTAGATCACATACTAGCCCACTTTTATGGCTTTGCAGTGCATGGAACTTTCTTTAAAGTAGATCACATACTAGCCCACTTTTATGGCTTTGCAGTGCATGGAACTTTCTTTAAAGTAGATCACATACTAGCCCACTTTTATGGCTTTGCAGTGCATGGAACTTTCTTTAAAGTAGATCACATACTAGCCCACTTTTATGGCTTTGCAGTGCATGGAACTTTCTTTAAAGTAGATCACATACTAGCCCACTTTTATGGCTTTGCAGTGCATGGAACTTTCTTTAAAGTAGATCACATACTAGCCCACTTTTATGGCTTGTGTTTAGATGTCCCCTCAAAGTCTCATGTGGTCATAGGTGGGGCTTTTTCAGAGGTGGCTGGATCCAGACTAGCCTAATGTGTGACTGCTTCTAGGTGTGTAATGCTAAGGTTAAGGGTGCTGGGAGGGTGTGTGATCACTAAATCAGTCCACTGATTAGTTTGGTACCGACCATAAGCCCAGTAGCCAAAATAGAATATAAAAGGGGCAGAAAGAAGCTGCTAAGGGCACTTGGACTTGCTCTTGCTGCCTTTGCCTGCCTGCTTGCCATGGACCATTTCTCCTCTGTGATGCCCTTCTATCAGGAGCCAGGTGACTATGGACTAAAACCTCTACAGACTGTAAGACAAATAAATCTTTTCCTCTTTTAACTTTGGGAGTTGGGTAATATGTCTCAGCAATGAGAATAACTAAGATACCCACAAAGTCTGCTTAAATAAATATGAAAGAACCTAAATCATTATGCTTACTATGAGACCAATGAAAATAGAAATCAACCACAGGAAAAAAAATTACAGAAAATTTAGAAGCACTTGGCAACTAATTAACACCTTGTTAAACACTCAGGAGATCACAGAAGAAAACAAGGAAGAAACTGAACTAGTACAATACACCAGAAACTAAGTGACACAAAGAAAGCAGTCCTAAAATGGAGGATCATTGGAATCATTTTTCGTATTAGGAAAACAGTTCAAATCAAATAAATAACCAAATGAAGGACTTCAAGATACTTAAGAAACAACAACAATCCAAGCCCAAACGAAAATTAAAGAGGGAAAACATAAAGATTAGAGCGGAAATTAATAAAATCAAGACTAAAAACACAATACAAAGAATCAATAAAGAGCCAGTTCTTTGAAAGAATAAACAAAATAGATAAAGCCTTAGCCAAAATTACCAAGAGAGAAGACTCACATCAATGCAATTACAAATGAAGAAGGTGAAATCACAACAGACATAGTGAAATCCAGAGACAGTAACAACTATAAAAATTTGTATTCCCAACAAATTGGAAAGCCTCAAAGAAACAGATTCTTAGACTCAAATTACCAAAACAAAACCAAGAAGACATAAAAATATTAACCCAATAAGAAATGAAATTGAGACAGTAAGAAAAAAAAAACCTACCAATCAAAAAAGAAAGTCCAGAACCCAATGGATTCTCCAAAAGCTTTAAGGATGATACATCACTGATACTCTTCACACTATGAAATGAAACTGAAAGGAAAGGAGTGGTTCCAAACTAATTTCTGGAAGCCAGCATAACTTTGATCCCAAAGCCAGACAAAGATACAATGAAAAAAATAAAACTACAGGCCAATCTCCTTAACGAAAACAAATGCAAAACCCTCAACAAGACACTGGCAAATAATATGCAACACATCACCAAAAGGATCATACATCATGATCAAGCAGGTTTCATCCTAGAGATGCAAGTATGGTTCAATACATGCAAGTCAATAAATACAACCTGCCACATAAACAAAGGACAAAGTCCATATGATCATTATCAACAGATGCAAGAAAAGTTTTTGACAAAATCCAACACCCCTTCATGATAAAAACTTTGAAGAAAGTAGGCATAGAAAGACCTTACCTGAATCTGGTAAAGTCATTTATGACAAATCAACAGCCAAAACCATATTAAACGGTGAAAAATTGAAAGCTAAAGTCAGGAACAAGACAAGGACGCCCACTATCTCCTTCTATTCAATATACTAAAAGCATTAGCCAGAGCAATCAGGCAAAATAAAGAAATAAAGGAGATACAGACAGGAAAGAAAGAAGTAAATATCATATTTACAGATGACATGATACTCTATATAGAAGACTCAAAGAATTCTACCAAAAAACAAAGAACAACCATATTCAGCAATGCAGCATGATATAAAATCAACACAAAAATCAATACAATGAGTTTAACGAGGAAGAAATTAGGAAAACAACACCATTTACAGTAACATCAAGAAAAAATAAATACCTAGGAATTAACCTAAGGGCATGAAAGCCATCTCCGAAGAAATCTATGGTACTCTGAAAAAGGAGATTGAAGAGAGCAGCAGAAAATGGAAGGATAGCCCCTGCTCCTCGACAGGCAGAACCAGTAGTTTCAAAATGGCCCTATTCACAAAACTGATATATGGATTCAGTGCAATCCCAATCAACAGCATCCTTCCCAGGACTAGAGAAAACAATCCTAAAATTCATTAAGAACCGGAAGAGACTCAGAATAGTAAAAGCAAACGAAGGTAATGCAGAAGGCATTATGACACCTAACTTCCAAGCAGCAGTGATCAAAATGGCATGGTACTGGGACAAAAAGAGACTTGTGGGCCCGTGGAACAAAATAAAGAACACAGAAATATCTCCAGGCACATTCAGCTATTTGAGCTTTGACAAAGGGGCCAAAAACATAAGTTGGAGGACAGTCTACTCAACAAATGGTGCTGGCAAAATTGGATATTTGCAGAAAATTGAAGCTCAACCCATATCTCTCACAACATACTAAACTAAAAGTAAAATAGAGATTCCTCAAAAAACTAAAACTAGAAATTCCATTTGATGCAGCTATTCCCCTTTAAAGTATCTTCCCAAAGAGCTAGAGGAATCATACTACAGTGATACATGAATACCAATGTTTACTACAGAACAATTCATAATAGCTAAATTCTGGAAGCAGCCTGTATGCCCCTTAACAGATGAATGAGTAAAAAAAAAAAATGTGGTATGTATACATAATAGAATAGTTTAGTACTTGGCTATATAAAGAAGGACAAAGTCTACACATTTGTAGGAAAGTAGATACAACTGGAAAATAAAACGTTAAGAGAAATTACACACACAAACTTAAAATATGGCATCTCTCATTTGAGTAGGGCAAAGTACATATAAAGAACAAAAGAAAGGATTTATAAAGGAAACAAAGAGATAGATCTTTTGCAAATGGAAATGGATCCAGGAGAATGAGTGCAAGGAGTGAGTGAGAAAGAAGGGGAAGTAAAAAGATTTAGGATGTGTCAATTATATGTACCAAATATCCACAATTAATGTAAATATATTTTACAAACATGAACTAAATAAATAACAAAAGGAATGAAAACAGGAAGGATTCAGAGATGGAGGGAGGGAGATGGTAGGGAAGGGAAAAAGATTAAAAAAGAATCAAGCTATGCTATGTACATGTACCTACTCCCTAAGATAAATGCAAATTTCATGTTCTGCAAAGAAATACTAAGAAAATAATATAAAATAAAAAAGAACAGAAAAGCTTGAAAAAAAGATGCATTATGTACATGTACCAATTCCCCACAAAGATTATAAACATTATGTACTATAAACATGTATAAATAAATTTTAAAAATGGAGTATGATTCAATAGAATGCAGGACAAAGGCAACAACAAATGATGGAAAGATAGAAGACAATGGCAAAGCAGTAACAACCCATACCAACACATACATTTTTGTAAAGGGTAGAAACACATCAATTGAAAGTCAGACACGGCCACATTAGACAAAAAAGCAAGACCCCACTAGCTATACATCCTTACAAGAAAATCATTTTAAGTATGAAGAGTGCAGACACACTCAAAGTCAAAATAGGAAAAATAGCGTATCTGCCCACTGCCATGTTCTTTGCATTTCTTTGTCCTAGCTTCAATTTCCATTCTTGGCACAGAAAAAACTTTTTCCTATTATTTAAAGATATGCCTTTATTTAAAAGCTATACCTTTACTACTTTCTCAAATTTTGTAAGATCTAAAATGAATGAAATTACCTGGAAGCTGTTCATGTTTTGACTCACTCTCATTTTCATCTTCAGTTAGTCCTATATTAGTCCGATAACTGGAAAAATACATTTAATTAGCATGTAAAATCATGTCTCAAGTACTTGTTTCATCAAAAACTAAAATCGTGGGAACTAGAGGAAAAATGTTTTGAAAATAAAAGAGCCTCAAAGCCCAAGGTTGACTGTAGGTATGCAAGTAATTTTAAATAAGCAACTTTTCTTAAATTTATGTACAAATATGAACCATTTTGTACATAAATGTATGAGTTTCTATGTGTACAAATTATTTTATGGCCCAGAAATCCCTTCTATTCTAAAGATTAAGAACTGACCTCAAGTTATGAGATCCAATGAAATCTACATAAAGACCAAGAAAAAACTACCCCCAGCATTCATATGTTAATATCCAATTTAATCTTGAAACAGAAGCAAAGACAAGCCTTAACTCAAGAAAAACTTAAAAGCAAGGGGATAAATGAGCTTGAGCATGTTTTGATTATACAGGACATATTAGTTCTTTCAAGGAATCAGATCTACCTTTTCCAGTCAATTAACTCTGACTTTGGTGAAATCATTAGCAGACCTCATAAACTGTAATATAACAATGATAATAGCAGCAAACAGCTAATATTGTATACTCGATACCATGTTGCACTGACTAGCCTATTCTGAAGCAAAAATACAAATAGTTAAAAATATTATTGATAAGGAAAAGTTAAAAAATATTCAGAGACAAATCATGGCCAAAAAGCTGTGTGTGCTTAATCTTTTATGTCAAGAGAGACAATGGCCATGGGCAACATGTGTAGCTGAATGTTCTGAGTATCCCAATAATATAAGGCCCTAACCATTCTTTACCTAAGCCTTTCTCAGTGTGATGTTTGTAGTAATTAAATCTTGAGCTGTGAGGAAATGTTTCACTCCCAAAGCAATCTTGTTTCCCTTTACTATAAAAACAGTGATAGATTCCCCAATCTCAGTGTATCTCTCCAATATAACACAACCCACTGGACGTGTAGACACCCACTGGCGGATCCTTTGTCTGGCCTGGGTAGAACTCATGGGGTACAGGAACTGATGCAGACAAACATGACACTGGGGTATTAGTTTTGCGCTGAGAAGAAAGGCCTTCTGCTTCTGACTGAGCAATCTAGTGTTTACTGGCAATATCCACAAAATTTGGAGGCTAATTTGTTAGTTTGCAAGCAGGGTATCAGTTTCAGACCCTGAACATTTCATGCTAGTAAATGTAATGCTTTACCTATTTTCTGTAAGAAACTAATCATGCTGGGATTAGGCATTCTAATAACCAGTAGTTATGCTTCTCTTTACTCTCAATTATATTTTTGTATTCTCAAAATTAAAATAAAATCATAATCTGCTTTCCGTTTATAACAAAACAATTACACAGATGACTGATGTGAGGACATTCAAGGCCTGAGGTATCACAAAGGTTTTGAGAATGTCAATGGTCTACTATTTTTGAGAGAGGGCCAACTCGGTCAAGTAGGACTTCTAGGATTAATGAGCTATCCTGATAACCAACAGAACCAACCACACACAGAGGTCAGACTCCCTAGTACTGACTTCTGCTTTTTTAAGATTTTCTCCTGAGTTTATAATGGCAACCTGAGCTAGGTATGGTAGTGCACACCTGCAATACCAGCACTTGGGAGGCTGAAGCAGGAGGATTGCCATGAGTTCGAGGTCAGCTTGGACTACATAGGAGTTCAAGACCAGCCTGAACTGCAGTGACATACTGTCTCAAAACAAAACAAAACAACAAAAAAACAAAACAAAACCAGCTGTGTATAAGAGCAACCTGGACTTCATTATTTTACTTCATTTGTGGAAAATCACCTGATTTCTTTCTTAGTAGGACTTCACAATATACTAAGTTTCAACAGTATCTTAGGTATGAAACTTCAGGTAGTATTTATAGTAGAGTGGGCTTTCTACCTACAAATTAGAATATTCTCTTCATACGTAATAGACATGACCATAATAAAGAACAGACAACAGTTAATTTTGTCTTTCTATGTGAGTCAATGCTTACATTAACCTTCCAAAAATATAGAAAAAACAGTTCATACGTAATAGACATGACCATAATAAAGAACAGACAAGTTAATTTTGTCTTTCTATGTGAGTCAATGCTTACATTAACCTTCCAAAAATATAGAAAAAACACAAGTCAGTTAATAGCTTATACTGTATTTACTTACCTGTTTAAACCTTTAAAAGGAGTAGAGTCACTGGAATCCAATTCCTTATTTAATCTTGAATAATCAATGGAACATGTCAAGCCTTTCTGAAGCTTGTCAAAAAACTGCTCTTTTTCTTCTTGTTCTTCTAACGTGTCCAATCCCAATCCAAGAACATTATGATTTAGCTCAGAAACTATTAGTTCTAAACAGAAAGCACAAATATACTTTAATACACAGAATTCTGATTAAAAGTTAAATGATACATTTATCAGCATTATACAGTAAAATGAAGATTTTTTAGAAATACCTTACCCAATCTCTCATCTAGCAAATAATTTTGTAATCAAAATCGGTATTATAGAATTTAAGGCTTCTCAAGATCTATAATTCTAAACATCTGAGAAGATACTAAATCTGTGTATATGCTTCAGTAAAAGAGGCTCCAAAATAGTTATGAGTTAATTTTTTTATAATTTGTGAATATAAGCATATTAATAATTTATCAGGGCCAGGGATTTAGCTCAGTGGTTCTGGCGCCTGCCTCGCAAGCATAAGGACCCGAGTTCAATCCCCAGTACCAAAAAAACAAAAAAAATTATCAACTCATATTCTTCATATTCTTACCATTTGTCTCCAAGCTGTCAACACTTAAGATAGACGTTCCACTGCTCTTCAGATGCTGAGATTTTTCAGCAGACTCCTCTTCTGTTTCCACCACTGGGTGAGAAGTCTTTGTTTTCAAATAGCTTACATTTGTTCTAAGCAGTCCTAGGAATAGGATTTAACATGGTTGGGCATTTATGTTCAGAGAACTGTTTTGATCAAATGCCAACACGGTAATACTATAGGGTTAAATTTGTGGATAGTAGCTGCAAAATGAATTAAATAAAAATCCATCATATACAGAATTCACAAAAGAAAACCTATAATGCCACTTGACTGCAGCGTATCTTCTATAAATGGAGTATTTCAAAAATTGGCATGATTTTTAAAAATTATTTTGAAGCAGTGTGCCACACACACTTTTCTTCTGCCTTAGTCCCTCTTCTTTGCTTTAGTTACAAAGTTTTTGTTGACTTGTAACTTCTTTAGAAATAGATAGCATAAAACAGCATAACACACAAAAGGCTCATATAAAGTAAGGACAATTACAAGACCTAGACAAGATCCTCGGTCAGTATAAATATCACTTTAAAAGGGTGGAAATATATAAAAAAAGATCTTGTAAAATCATTTATTTTGACAACACTGGAAACAGTAGCTTACTACAGGAAAGAGTCTTCAGCATGGTAAAGTGTGTCTGTTTATAAGGGAGGAAAGGTTATTATAATGTCTCACAGCACTTCAGAATGTGAAACTTTCTCAAAAGCTAATACATACTAAGCACATTAAATGTTCTGTGACTGATTGGGTGTCAAATGATATTAAGGAATTATCAATATTTTTTGCATAGTATTTTTTAAATAGACAACTTATTTTAAGACATATTTCAAAATACCTGTGGCTAAAAGTGATATGGTGTCAGAGATTTGTTTCAGTACAATAGTGGGGGGAGAAAGAGAGGAAATACTTGAAACAGGAATGGCCATGAGTTACTAGTTGTTGTAGGAAGGCAATGGGTATATTCTACTTCTTTCTGAATAGGTTTGGAAAAAAAAATTTTTTTTAAATAAAAAGCTTCAAAAGTGCCCCATGAATCCTGGCCAAAACTTACAATTTACATTTTCATAGGTTTTAATATTTTATTCAGATTTGTTAAATTGGGTCTCTATAATAATATTAGTGCGGGCCATACGAGGAAGGCCCTTACCTTCATGAAACAAAGTTTGCTAGAGGCAGGCTATCAACAACAAATATTTGCTAGTGCCTAATACACGCCAGATATTGTTTTAAATGCTAGGGATTTATCAGTGAATACAATAGGAAAAAAATCACCGCCCTTGTGAAGTTTACATTCATGTAGATAGAAACAAGAAAAAATGTAAAAGAAATAAGCACATTACAATTAAATACATTAGAAAATGGCAAGTGCAAAGAAGATTAAAACAAGGGGGACAGGGAATGCAGGACTGAGGACAATGAAAATTCCATGATTTCATGGAAAAGTTAACAATTGAGCTAAGACTTGATGGAGGTAAGGGGACAATCCACAGTAATACTTAGAGGAAGAGTGTTGAAATAAAAGGAAACATGTAGTACTGGAGATTTAGCTTGGCGGTGCAGCAAAGGATCTGAGTTCAATCTCTGGTACCAAAAATAAAAAGGAAACATGTAGAAACCCTCTTCATCAGACCAGGAGTCACACTGGCATGAGCAAGGGAAAAACAGTCTGCTGGTCAATGGACTTCATGATTAGTGACATGAAAAGCTCTTAGAGGGACTAGATGGGCAATACTATGGATGAGCAGATTTTTGGAAAAAAGAAGTTCAAGGAACTCAAAAGTCAGGGTATTGGAAGGATTAACTATATGCTTAATAAAGCCAACCAGAATCAGACAGGAGAACTGGAGACTGATGGTAAAACAAGAGCTAGTCTCTTTGAAGAAGAAAGAATAACTTGGATATCAGCATACAACTGCAACGATGAAAAGTTCTGACAGCTCTGATGTCATGCTCTAGAAGGAGAATGGAAGGAGAAAAGTTTAGAAAAAGCAATGAAGAGCACATCATCCTTTTTTCAGGTCTAATGGAAGATGAAGGAAAGAAATTAGTAAACACTGGAAGTTACTGAGGAAGCATCCGGGTCTACAGAAGAAATTAAATATGAATTACAACCCTAGAACTTTGAGGGAAAACTATACTACTAATGGGGATGAGGTCTTACCAAGACTGGAAACTCAAGAATGTTTCTGCAAGGAAGTAACACTTCTGCTAAAATAGGAAGAAAGAGTAACTAGGTAAACTGGGAAAGGGAGACACATACAGGCAGGGAAAATAGTACAAAGGCTTAATAATGGGAAAAGCAGGCAGGTTGAGGATGCAAAAAGACGAGTCATACTTGACCTAGTAACAAAATGTGCATATGGGAGAAAATAAGCCTAGAGCTACAAGTCAATGATCTACCATGCTCATCCTCAGAGGCCAGTAGTAAATTCTGCTCTTTATTCCAAGAGCTTTAAAATTACAGTAGGTTACACAATATCAAAATTTTTGAATAGCACAGGCAGCCCTCTGTGTCTGTGGGTTGCACATCTATGAGTTCAACTGACTACAGATCAAACATTTTTGGAAAAATTATTATTAAACACACACACTTTTTCTTGTTATCACCACTTAATACAGTATAACTATGTAGCATTTATATTGATCAGGTAGAAGTAATCCAGACATGACTTAATATGGGTACACATTAAAATACTATGTACATACACCCTTTTATATAGGGGATTTGAACATTTAGATTTTGGTATCAGTGGCTCCTAGAAACAGATACAGAGGGATAAAGGAATATTTGTTGTAAAGAAAAACCAAAACAAAACAAAGTATGGAGCTGGATGTGGTGGTATATGACTGTAATCTAAATACTCTGGGAGGCTGAGGCAGCAGGAAAGGCATCATAATGGCAAGAAAGCATGGCAAAAGCAGAGAAACGGGATCCAAAATGCTTCTAGTATATATGGGATAACGAGCCATGGCTGTGGCACATGAGGTAGAAAGGGAGATGACAGAGCCTCAACTGTCACATTAAGAAATTCAGACTCAATTTTTTTTTTGGGGGGGGGCAGGGCTACCCAGGCCTTTACACTGAGCTACTCTCTCAGAAAACTCCCTTGACCCACCCCCAACTTCTAAGTTTTATTCTGAGACAGAGTCTCATTAAATTACTCAATTGCTCCTATGAGGCTTAAACTTATTTATGATCCTCCTGCCTCAGCCTCCCAGAGGGCTAGGTTTACACGCATGTACCACAATACCCAGCTTCGGACTTAATTTTATGACAAAGCATAGGCCACAGGTAAGTTATCCTCAGAGAAGAGATACAGAAATTCTACCAGTTTACAAAATGGTGCTTAACACTGATCCACACATATTGCAAAGCTAGTTAAACAAAAGCAGGATGGGTTCTTTACAGATATGACAGTGTCATGTATAGTAAATATACCATATACGGTACTGTTTATAATATAAACTTACTGTGAAGTCATACTACCACAGAATGCATACTTACTAAATGCAAGTGTAACAAAACACTCAAAGTAATTTTGGATTTGTAAAGCTGTAACTGGAACTATTCCAGAAAAGATACAAATGTGCCAGAGAGAGGATCAATAATGAGTTTTCTTTTTTTCATCATTAAGGCAATAATCTTTTTTTTTCTTTTCTTTTCTTTTCTTTTTTTTTTTTTGGTTTTTTGAGACAGGGTCTCACTATGCAGTTGAGTCTCACCTGGAACTCACTATATAGCCCAGGCTGGTCCCGAACTCACAGCGATTCTCCTGCCTCAGCCTCCTGAGTGCTGGGATTACAGGCATGTGCCACCACTCCTGGCTTAATCTATTTTTAATAGTATTAATATAATACAAAATCAACAGATTTTTTTAAAATTGAGTTTATTGGTACGTTTTAGGTACAGTTGCATTCATTATTGGGATCTTGTACCTTTACATGACAGGTCTTGTTTCTCATTTTTTCCCCTTGTCCCTGCCCTCCCTTCACCCCCTCCACCCCTCCCCATTTACAAACACTTTGCTTTTTTTCATTTTCTCCTATTTTTTTCCTTTCCCTTATTACCTTTCCCCTACCCTTCCCACTTTCCCTACACCTTTAGCCCTTTTCTTCCTATTTCACATTGTCAATTACCTCATTAGGATCTTATGTACTATTATAGTTTTTCACACCAGAGAAACCAAAATTAACAGATTTAAAAAAAACTGTTCTTATAGGTTTACATTAACACATCGCCAGAATTTTATTAAATCAATTTACCATTAAATATAACATATAATGTGTCTAGATTATTCACCACCTTAATATGAGCAAATTTAAACTATCTTAATATAAAATAACTTGATGCAAAAACACTACCTCAATTACACATGTAACAAAGTACTGCAATATGAAAATTCAAACTTCAAGAATCTACACTATCAGGAACATATATATATACACATATGTGTGTGTGTGTATATCTGTGTGTGTATGTATGTATCTATGTATACAATGTACAGAATTATAAGTCTTGACTGACCCCTTGTGGTCAAATAATTTAAAACTAAACATCAGCAGTATTTACCATGATCTTCAAAATCATCTTCAGTTAACCACCAAGGCACTGTATCTTTCTTCTTTACTTCTTTAGGTTGTCTAGGTGTTTTATTTGACTTGTCAAAAGAATCATCTGAAAGCTAAATCAGACACAAATTACTAAATTACACAATATATTGCAAATAATTCCAGATTTAGTATTTAAGAATAGCATTTCTCTATTAGTTCTTTCACCTTTCAGTTATCATACAATATTTTCAACAATAATGTATATATTCATTATCTCTAGACAACTAACAGCTATCAAGCATATGTCTCTGAACAATGATTTCATGTCCAAAATTAAGAGTAAGCTAGAACAAAAGGAAAACCTGATCAAGATATTTGTTTAGGAAAAGAAAGAAAAGGAAGAATACAATCCTACTTAGACACTGTCAAGGATCTAAGAAAAAGGAGACGTTAAACAAAATTACCAAGAATCACTCCAGAAGAACACAGAATTCCAAAACAATGAATTGAATTTCAGTGGGTGGAGAGGATGATGGTGTTGACAACAGAAATTAGCGTTTTGTCACAATGATTAATAAACTGTGATAAACTTACATTTGTCATTTAGCCATCTGGTCTAAACTTTACTACACTTCTAAATCTCCTACTCTTATCCCAATATTTTCCTCCCTCTTATTCCGTAAGGTGGCCTCCATTTTCAATGAAGAAATAAAGATATCAGTAAACTACTACCCTACGTCCTCTTATTCCATCTCTAAATTTACTTAAGGAATAATTCTCTCCCCCATGCTCAGTAGAATCTGAGGAAATGTCACTCCTCTTCTTCAGGTTATTCCTTGGTATCACATTTCATTTCTGTACCCTCACTCCCTTTGCTCTCTACTCTGCCCACTTCCTTTAGATTAGAAATCTGCTCAGCATTGCAAATCCAGCACCTCGCAGTTGTGGGCAAGTCTGGGGAATAAAATGATACACAAGTCTACTCTTCTTTGAAAACAAAATACAACAGGACAAGTTTCTTACTTCTATTTCTTTTACTCTACCTATCACTTTTCCTTTACCAATTTTTTAATAAGCTGCTGAACCCTTTATGATCTGGTTTCCACCAAACTGGCTTTCTGCCAGGTACATAAGGCCTCCTAAACACCACAAATAAAGGAGTATTGCCAGTCATTTTCCTAGGTCACACCATGGAATTTGATTTTGGTGATAGACTCTAACTTCTTGAAACTCTCTTTGGCTTCATCTGCATCACTCTCACTCAGTGACTCCTCACCTCTGTGGTCACTCCCACCCATGTGTTTTCATAGCTTTGGGCTCTTTTGCTCATTTCCTCAGCATGAGACTATGTTCCTGATGGTTTTTTTTATCCTTGATGGTTTTTTCCAGCATTCTTTTCTGGGAACAATATATACAACACATGTGTATGCCTGATCTATGCCAGGATCTGCATTCAGGTTATCTCACTACTAAAGCCTGTCTATATTATACTATACCATGTAGTCTTCAAACTAGGATATAGTTACCAGTATCTTCTAAGATGGCAACACACACATATTCCTACCTGCCAAACAAAAAACTCTACCTCAGTAACTTGCAAAACTGTCAATGTTAAAATGTTCAAAAAGAACTCATTATCTTCAATGGCAACTACTTCAGAAGAGAGGAGGGAAGAAAAATATAATTTAATTTGATTTTGTTAGCTAGGTGCATCATTTTCCACTTAAACTCTAAATATCACTGTTACCTTAAAATGTTCCCTTTCTCTCTCCCCCACAATTTTTCTAGTTCAATTACCTACAACATAGGCATAGGACAACTAATCTTGCAAAACTATAGAAAGAGCAGAAAAAGAAATACAGTACCCACTTTATTTTCTAATATATTGTAGGTGTCCTGACTTTGAAAACCTTTCACACTGCTTCACAAATTACTATCATAAAAATAAAACAAACCAAAAAGCTGGGCCTCAATAACAGTGTTACCAAGGATATCGACAAAGGCGAACCTGGCTGGTAGGAATATAAATAGCACAGTCATTCTAGAAAATAGTCTGGAAGTTTCTCAAAGGCTAAACACCGAGTTACCAAATAACCCAGCAATATCACGCCTAGGTATAGAGAAATGAAAACATACATCCACACAAAACTTGTACACGATTATTTATAGCAGCATTATTCAAAACTGCCAAAAAGTGGAAAGATCCCCAATGTCCACCAACTATTAAGTGAAATACAAAATGTGACACATCCACACAATAGTACATTATTCAGCTAGAAAAAGAAATGAGGTATTAATACATGTTACAAAATGGATGAACCCTGGAAATACTATGTTATTTATTTATAATTTAATTTAATTTATTGGTACATTCTAGGTAGACAGTACAGTTACATTCACTACTGGGATCTTGTTCCTTTACATGCCAGGTCTTGGTTCTCATTTTTTCCCCTTGTCCCCAGTTACTATGTTAAATAATATAAGCAAGATCCTAAAGGGCATATCCAGTATAATTCATTTCTATGAAATGTTCACAATAGGCAGATCTTTAGATATGAATATTGCCTGAGGAACAGGAGAAATTGGTAGTAACAGGGTTTCTTTCTGGGGTGACAAAACTGTTCTAAAATTGATTGCAGTGGCACTGATTTCATAAATGTAAAACCACTAAATCACATTATTTTAAATGAGTCAATTATACCTCATAAAAGCTAATTTTAAAAAGCTGGTTAACCACTCTAAGAACAAACATTTCCCCCCGCTTTTCATGCAAATATATAGAACGCGGCATAGCTCTCAATTCATTCAGCAGATATTTAGCAAGCATCCTTTAGGTCCTGCATATTTGACAATGAGGTTAGCTATCAAGTTATACACCATGTTCTTATAAAGTAGAAAAGAGACCCACACAAGAAAAATAATGGCGCTAAGTGCTATGAAAAATATTAAATACATGGTATACTAAGATGCAACTGGTTTACTTTTTACTGAGTTACCAGGAAAAGCTTCTTTGAGGTACTGACATTTAAAGTAAGATCTTCACCAACCAAGTGAAGAATTAGTTAACAACACTGTTGGAGGGAACAGGTACTACACAGCCACTAAGCAGTGGTGGTGTACCTATGGCACGTATGGCACATGTACTGCAGTGGGCTGTTTGTTAAAAGGTTCACCACCACTGCCCTAAGATGAAATGGTGTGTCAAGCCTGGGGGAAAAAGGCCACTGCAGAGTAAATAAAGTGGATGAAGGGAAAGAGTGATATAAACTCAGTCAGGCAGACATGAGAAAAATTATAAGGCAACATGAGGAGTTTGGATTTTATTCTACATGTGACAGAAAGACATATATATATGGTTTTATACTGGGGATGAAGAGAGCCGGATAAAAAGTAACACCTCATCTGGCTGAAGTGTGGTGAAGGCCATTGGTTGGGAACAGTTGCAGGAGGCCAGGTAAAATTATGGCATTCAATTAGCAGATGGAGCAGCATTTGAAATGGAAGAGAACTAGATGAGACAAATTTACAATATTGCTTTTAAAAGACATAAACTTACCTCCTTCATAAACTGTTCAAATTCTTCATCCAGCTCCTCTTTAGAGTAACGAGCCATTGTCAATATTTTTCATTTCCCAAAGCAAACATTCTAAAGAATTTACAACATTGGAAACACTAAAGGGCAAAAGAAAAACACTTATAGAAGAAATCTATTACATCATGAAAACAGCCAGACTTAAAGTTTAGAAATTTCATTATAACTTAGTATGCATGCACAATTATTACCACTAAGCTGGTAAAGAGATTCCTAATTCATTAAGTAAACTGATTTGAAAAAGCAACTTGAAAAGTCTACCTTCTACTTGGGATCCAGAATTACACTGTCATTCTAGTTGGTAAAGAGTGGAATCTATAAAACTTACTAAACTTACATATATTTGCATGTTATTTAATACCTCCGAGACACAATCCAGGTCTTCAAAGAGAATCTTAGCAAAATGAAAGAATCATTTCTTTCTTGTAACGATCAGTTAGCGCTGCCTGATTCAGCTAGTTATTTTCCAATCCATGTTAAGTTTTGCAAAATACACTTCCAGATATAGACAATCAGATTTAAGAGACAGAGTACTAATAAGATTACTTTTAGTATACAAGCTAGCGTTATGGAGGTGGAGATACGCAAACGTAAGCCACCAAAAACAATGCTCTGAGTACCTTAAGTGGAATCCAGTGGTTTGCAATGCAAAGATCTCCTCTTTCCCCCAATAAAGAACCCACTTAAAACTTCAGATTTGCTGGAGCTTCTGGGTTTTAACTCCCTGGGGCTCCATAAACACCCAACATTCTTTTATGCGAGAGAAGCAGTGGGTCAGCTTCCCAGACCGTGTCTTCCCTAACCTGAAGAACTACACCTTCACCCTTTATCAGCATTTGGGATCAGGTCAGAGTGGCCGCGGTTCAAATCTTGAACGAAGCTTGGTTAGAGGCGGAACTCACCAAAAGGTCCTCACCCTGGAGGCGTTCTGGCTCCCAGGAAGAGCGAATTTGGATGCTAGCAGGTAAACGAAGCCGTATCTGGGGTGGAGGCCGGGCGAAGGAGGGTACAGAACCGACAAATGAAAGTTTTAAGGCACAACCTCCGCCAAGGTAGTTTAGAAGGAGGGCCAGTGCCCACGCCTGACCTACCTTTGCCTCTGAATCCCGCGCTTTCCCGAAGGTCAGTGCGGGCCAGCAGTTGTCAGGGTAACAAACTTCAGCCAAGGCGCTCCAGAGTCACATGACCCGGGACGGTCACGTGCCTCGCGGGAACAACTGGGCAGCTATTTCCTTGGTCCTCTAGAAACAAGGATTAGAACCACCACCCTCAGCAAGATACCGTGGTGGTCGAGGCGCAGCTGCTTCACCAGCTTGCCCTGCCAGCTTTTTGCTTTTCACACACTGAGAAAAGTGTGTGACTGCGAACCGGCTCCTGAAGCACCGCGACACCGGTATAAAGCGAATCCTAGCCCATGGCTTTCTGGGAGATGTAGTTTAGCTTCCTCAGGCCTGGAACTGTATTTCCGCCCTTCCTGCCCGCCTACCAGTTTTACGCCAGCCTTTATTTTTGGACACTGTGTCTCCCCAGCGGAAGTTTTCCAGAACTTTATTGGATTTTCTTCACGTACAAAGCCCTGTGTGAGTATTCAGAGAAAACCACAAACTTGTTAGAAAAAAACTCTGTTGTTAGAATAGGGACTCTGTTCCACCACCTAGTGGTCAAAAAATTGAAAATACACAAGCACTGAGACTTCACTGTTTAATCTGTGGTTTCCCGCTAAACCAAGTTTCAAAATATCATTCATTGTATGGTTACAATTTACAATTACTTTCTAGGACTTTTGTCACCCATTTACTTTCTTTTGAAAGAACAAAACATAACCTGAAATTTGAGAAGGCAGCATTTAGGGTAGTGAAAGTAAAATCGACAAAAGATTGAGGGATTTGCAGCCTGCAGGTATAATTCAAGATCCTAGCTCTGACTTGAGCGTTTCATTCAACAAGTGTTTATTGAGATGCAAATGTCTACAAACCAGGAGATGTGCCCTACTGTAAAAATAGGAGTAATGATAAAGACATTTTATGCTTCCATTTATTGAGCATTTGATGGGAGCTTCACATGTATCATTTAACTTAATCCTTGCAAATTAAAATAAATTCCATCAAATCCACATTTTTGTTTCTAGTATGTGTTAAATGAACAAAGCAATCATAGTCTCAGCCCTAATAGAATCTTTGGTCTAGTGGAACAGACAGATAATATGCCAGAAAATTTGGGGTACAATAAAAAAATTAGTGACGATGTACCATGAAGAATGTAAGTCTGGGACACTTTCTACCTGTGGCACGATAAAATTTCAGTCTTACTCAATATACTGTTATGCTATAAATTAGTGGCCACCAGGCAATATTGCCTGGGCATTCAACACTAGTAGTTTTACTCCTTTTACAAGCGAGCTTTGCTCCTACCCTGTACAGACTATTTTATATCCTTTTCACCCTGCTTGGACTTTAGAATGAACAACTTCTATCATCTGAGACTTTTGTGATGTTTATCACTGAGAGTCTAGAGTCACAGGAAGCTTCTTGTTTATAAAAACTAGGAGAGTTAGTTCACTGTACCCTGTCCTTTTCTTACTTTGTTGTCCCATCCCTTGATGTCACACATTCACTATATGCAGATGGTCTCTCTTCATATTATATTTTAAAAACAGGTCACATGGGGCTGGGGATTTAGCTCAGTGGTTCCACTAACTGCCTGTCAAGCACAATGACCTGATACCAAAACAAAATGAAGCAGAAACAGGGCACATGAAGCTGGAATTTTGTCACTCTTTTGCCACTAAATCTATAAACTATCTGCATCTGCACTCATCCTAATTGGTTACATGTTCCAGTAGAGGAAATGTACTGCCTTCTAAGAAATCCACTTTCCTACATATGATCTGGAGCCTTTACCTGTTCTCCTCAATGATCTTGCTGTGCTAGTAATTTCCTCTTCTTTTATCTTCAGTCTCTGGCTGTATGTGAATTTCTTCTTAACAGCAATCAAACATGCTGTGGATACGTAATCTAAAATGCCACTTTCAAAACATTCTTCATTCTGTATTTCCCTGTGATTGAAATGAATTTTCTTCTTGTCTGCCAGTCTTTACCTAGGGCATTATCTCCACTCCACTTCTTTCTTAATGAACTTTCTAATCCAGCTTCTACTTACACCAATTTACTGAACCCATTGTATCAGAGACTCCAACTCTGACATATTGAACCTATAACCCATAATTTTAAGAACTTCATGATGCTCTCATGATAAGCTATCTCTAACTAAAATGTAAATAAGATGGTCAAGTAATTAAACCAATTGTGTCATCTTGGATAGGACAAAAAATTCCTACGTTGATAGTTCTTTATAATTTCATATGTATTTTGTGACTCCTGGAATAATATGAACTTTGATAGGAATTTTGTGTTTGGTCAGACCCCCAGTGAGGTGCTAGGGTATGAGAAGTGTCTTTATTACATTTTCTTATAGCACAGGGTACAGTGTGGTATCTTGGTAAACACTGACAATATAGATCTGCAGTGTCAAGTGGGATGTAAACACAGGTCATTTTGGGATTTAATTAATGAGGTGAATGGACTTGGATCCAGTTACACAATCAACCAACCTAACAAAATCCTCCTTCATTACCTCTTTTTTCAGATGTGCGAATTCCTTTTATTGATGTAGATAATTAGAATGTTACTTAAGGAATTGTGTTATTCTGATCATCAGAAAGTTAAATTTAGTGGCATATATAGTTCTGGTTTTGATTTGTTATTGTTTACTTTTTTGCCCATTCATCCATTTCCTGATTGTTTTTGTTTTAATTACTCCAAACTTAGTTCTTTCACGTATGAAACAGTGTTTAAAGATTTAGCTGATGTTAACATTTTTTTTCCTCAAGAAAAAGAACTATCCAGAGTAGAATATTGAGAAATTATGCAGTCATCTATATAAGGGTTTAAATGTTCTGAAGTATAGGGAAACGCTGTTTCCCTAGGCTATGTAGAGCTGCCAATTTAGAATTATAACACAAGGACATGGATGTTGATTAGTAACAGGTTATGAAATTGTTTTAAAAAATAATTCTCCAGTAACACAGTAAATGGCCACTGGGTAAATGTCAGTAATTATAAAAATTTGTCTTTGCATCTAAATACGGTGACTAACAGCATGGTTTTATATTTATTATTTAAATGAACAAAACACAAAAATTGATGTTGGTCTTCATTCAGTTAAAGAAAATGTATTGTTCTATGAAAGACCCAGTAAGAAGGGAAAAAGATAAGCTAAAAATGAAAAGAAAATATTTGCAAAATTGCTGCTATCTCAAACAGAGAACTTTCAGAATGCTATAGTAAAAAAAAAATAAATAAATAAATAAAACAAAACAATAGAAAATGAGAAAAAGACACAAACAGGTATTTCACCAAAGCGGGTATAAATAGAATCATACCAAAGCGATATATGTGCATCCATGTTTATAGCACCACAGCTTGTAATTGCTAAAATTTGCAAGCAGCCCAAGCGCCCGTCAACTGGAGGCTGGATAAAGAAGATATGGTTTTTCTGTAAAATGGAGTACTACTCAGCTATAAAGAGTGAGAAACTAGAGTCATTTATAGCTAAATGGATGCATATTAAGGCCACACTTTTAAGTGAAATAAATAGGACACACGTGTAAATACCATATAGTTTCTCTGGTATGAAAAACTAAAAGTGTAAATAGGGTTCAATTTGTATAATTGATAATGTGAAATAGGAAGAAAAGGGCTAAAGGAGTAGGGGAAGTGGGAAGGTTAGGGAAAAGGAAATAAGGGAAAAAAACAAATGAAAGTCTTTGTAAATAGGGAAGGTTAGGGGGATAAAGGGAGGGCAGGGGTATGGGGAAAAAAGAAGTATCAAGATATATCATGTAAAGGTACAAGATCCCAATGATGAATGTAACTACCGTATATATAACAAATACCAATAAATTTAATGGAAAAAAAAGAAGCTGCAAGTTAAAACAACAATTGAATGTTACTGAATTATTTGAGATACGAAGAAGTGCACAGGAAATATTTATGGTAATGTAATAGTCTGTATCTTGATGTAGTAGTACTTTATATCAAGCTATATACATGATAAAATTACATAGAACAACATACACTTGCATGTACACACAAAGAGAGCATACGTAAAATTGATGAGATCTACATAACCTCTACTATTGTCCCCAACTTTCTGCAAATCTATTACCATTTAAAATAAAAAGTAAAGAAATAGCTCAGTGGTTCTGCCACCTGCCTCACAAGCATAAGGTCCTGAGTTCGATCCCCGGTACAAAAATAAAAAAAAGTAAAGAAATAATTGCAAAGTACTATAATCGAGAGCCTAACTCAGCCTCTTGCAAATTAGGTCTTCATCACATCAATTTATATGTATGTGTTGGCATGATAACCCTTTCTTCCAGGGAAATGTTATGAGAAGCACAATACAGTGGACCCTCGAGTTACGACTGGTCTTATATATGAACAACTTGAGTTATTATTGGAATTTAGTTTTACTTATGACCAAAGTCTTGACTTAGTACCTGAATGCCAGCTGCTTGTGCAGTTGTAGGCAAAGATTTGAGATCCCAGAAAAGCATATGTGTGAGTATTTAAGTGTCAGTCTGAGCTGGGATGGGGTGTTTGTGGATGTAATTTTTGGTCATTACTTTATATAATTGCTACAATTGCTGCTATCAAAATGACCCCCCCCGAAAGCTAGAAAAAGAGCTAAGAAAGTAAAGCAATAACAATTGAAAAGAAGGAAATTGAGGAGAAATATGAGAGTGATGTTTGTGTGACTGATCTCACTAATATGTACAACATGTTAAAATCCATCATTGCTACAATTTTACAGAGAAAAAATTTGTATAAAGAAGCCAGTTTTGCTAAAGGTATTACTCAAATTAGTAAGTCATGATCAACCATGTTAGATGAGGTAGAAAGGCTATTAGTATAGACGAAAGGCAGATGGCATGTTCTAGCCTATTTGAGTCTATAATTTGTGAAAAAGCTAGGACTATAAATGCATACCTCATAAAGGATAACCCATCAATGAATGATAATGGTGAAACATCTCCTGGGAGTATGGGGTGGTTTCACAATGTTAAAGCTAGACCTGGGGTTCATAGCATAACTAGGCATGGTGACGTAGCCAGTGCTAATAAATGGGCTGATGAAAATTACATATAGCACATCAAAAGGATGACACAGAGAAATGGCTTCTGCTCTCATCAAGTTTTCAACTGTGATGAAAGTGCTGTTTTCTGGAAGAAAATGCCCAGGAGAACGTACATTACCCATGAAGAGAATAAAATGCCAGGCCACAAGCCTATGAAGGATAGGCTAACCTTATTGCTGTGTGCGAATGAGAGTGTTGACCTCAAGATAAAGCCTCTCTTGGTTCTTTCTCCAAGACTCCTAGAATATTCAGAAAACATAAAGTCATGTAGAATAGGTTAGGTGTCATGTGGAGATCTAATGAAAAAACCTGAATGACAAGAGTACATTTTCTTGAGTGGATTGATGAGGCTTTCTTTCCTGTTACTAAGAAATATCTAGAG